CCGAAGAACCTCATTGAACAATGGTTTGGCGAATACACTCGACAAAGATGAGACTGGCTCGTGAATTAGCGATAAAATGTGCTTTTCACGCGTGTTTCCTCGCGAAATACGTATAAGATGTCACACGGTTATAGATGAATCGTGTTAGTGTGCTTGCGTACGCGTTTATGAATGTATTTTAGTGTGGTAGTTGACTGGGAAAGGAGAGGAAGAGAGAAAGCATGGGAAAAAGAGACGGAGGTATTCGGGTCGAATGGGCAACTTGTTGCATTTCGGCTGGGAACGACGCGATGCGACGCGATAATATACTGCATAAGAATCCCTGTGTTGTCGTTATATGTGCCGGGCTTGTTCAAATTTGCTGTATCTTAACGCTGAGAACTTCCCCCCCCCCATATTTGTGAAATTTTTCCTGGCTAGGGGTAGGTTAAGATCGTTCTTTCGACAATGATCCTTTCAGTACAGTGAATTATAATATAAGCTACGATATGGTGAGGCAAAATTGGTCAATAGTCAAAGTGGTCATGTTCCTGTGTATATGTATATACATAATATTTTAAATGGCCAATTTTTTGAACCAGGTTGTAATATAAATAAATAAATACAACAATTATATAATGTTATTTATTATAGGATTTATATAATTATAGGATGTTATCAGCAGATAAATTCACCATTCGTTGATATCATATTTCAAAACCACAAAATTATTACTATGTGCATGGAAGTAACTAGTACATTCACTAGTAACGTGGATAACGAGATTCAAAATCAGTCATTCTCGTTATTTTAGTATGTTAGGTAAAATAATGTTCTTCCGTATTATTTTCGTTATAATAAAAAAAATAAAGATGACATTAAGGAGATAAATATCTATTGTTAGTATCATTTTGAAATATTTAAATCTAAATATCTTTGAGATTAAAAAATCATGGTTTTTTGGCGTAATATGTTTCCAGCTCAATATTTCTTTTATGGAGAAAAATATATGGTTTCGTTGTATAAACTTAAGACAACATTCTTTTTTATAGAAATAAATATCTGATTTACTTAATTCGATTATTCGATTCGATAATTAATACGATTCATTGTTGGCTGAAAATTGATATTAATTTCATGTATGATCTTTCTGTGCCAAATTTTTTGAAATCATTACGCTGCACATTTCGTAAAGTACTGTATGCATTATATTAGAAAACAAAATTTGTATTACAATTCACCTTTTTCGTTTCAGAATGTCGTTATCCAAATAGTAATTAATATACACTAGCTCTTCTACTCATAAGTAAAATATTATAAGTCATAAATTTCTTTTCATTACACGAAGCTTTAAAACAGAATACAGTATATGCCCGTAAGTAGACTTACGATTCTAAGACACTGAATGATTCAATATATAATAAAATCAATAGTGAGTCAATACATGACTCGTGTAATATAATTACCTTGCTACATTTTAATTCGTATACGTTTTGATTATTGATAATTGACACCGCATGATAATCCTTTTTTTAAACTTCGTTACAAAGGGATAGTAGTAAAAAAGAAGCAGAAAAGTAATAGGAGAAAAATTTGATCGTAAATTTTACTTTCGAATTGCTCTTCTTGTCTATTACACAACCGGTATTTAATGCGACGATACAGCTGCTTGTAAGCGATATCTCGTAAAACTTAATGATTTGGAATTATGATAGAGTCTTTTTAACTGAGCTTTGTCGTCACGTCGCTTCGAATGTCGCGATTTTTTGATTGTAAGATAATTCGCGTGTCACTGGCGATTTACAAAATTGCGCGCGAGAGCAGCAGGAAATGGTCATGCTCGCGTATATGTCTTGTGAAACGATGAGACTGTTAAAATAGCCGTAACATTGCTATCGCGCAATGACATACATCTTAATTGTTGTCTCGACCCAACTTGCCTGTCGGTATTCTTTTGTGAAGCTTAAACAATAAAGCAAAGTGCTCCGTGTAAACGGGGGTTGATTTACCGCGTCTTCGCACGGAAGTCCAGCGCCACTGGAAACTTGGATTAAAAGTTTCCGTTCGTAGTGTTTACTCGCCAACCTCAAGCATCCACTTTGCTTTAATGCACCTTATCCTTTTGGCTTGAGGATATTACGCGACAGGTGTTTAATAGAAATAGAATGCGAATCTTACACGATTATCGTGGTTTTTCTTTTTAAAGCTTTACAGATTTTTCTGTATTTTTTAACGTGGGCAATAAAATAATTTGCTTGTTTTCTTATTATTTGTTCACTGTAAGTAGGAATAAGAAAGGAAATGCTTTGGCTTTTGTTAGATTTTTTAGTTTTTAAATTTTTCGGTATATTACAAATACTAGTGAAATATCATACATAACGCATGTAACGAATAACATGCATTAGCCATTCGTCTTACAAGTTTTATTTAAAATGCTTCAGTCTTTTTAATACTCTGACAAATGTGTCTAGTCATTGGCCTTCTGATATTGAGTATAAACTCGTTATATAAGCGCAAAGAATTAAGACAGAAGTTGAAGTTTATGTACCAGCTTTAGTCAATGTCTGACTATCTATCCTGAGTAAATTTCTACTGAACTACTGCGAACTACTACAACTTTAACGAAAAATTATTTAGTAAAACAATTTCTTACACTGCATTTATATGTAAAGTCTAAAAAGAATTCTGTGTACTGCATTTTTCACTTAATCCTCACTTCACAGTCTTCACTCTCGACTTCAGGGCCGTACTTTACATTCGAGCCAATTAAAAGGTTGCTGTAACATTGGTACTGCTTTGAAAGTAAATCCTCTAATACCGAGGAAGCGTAACTTCATATTATTACATTAGATTCGGATTCAGGTGTCGAGAGGGAACGAAATATATGACGGGAATTTCCGAAGAAATTAAGTTTGAAGTTCTAATTTACATATGAAACTATTTTACATACATCGTTATTTATTTTTACTGGATCAATATTGATGTCACAATTAGTCGCGATATTACAGCTTGTTAAGTAAACAAATTAGTGAGATAGATTTGAAACTTAATTATATGCGGATAAAAGAAAAAATAGTTAATAATATAATAATAACTAATTCATGCGAATTTTCATCCCTGAGTTTGGTTTAGTCTCTTTCATTCCTATATTTAAATAATATTGTCGCAGTTTGAGTACAAATAAAGAGAAAAGAGAAACATAACACTTTGTTAATAATAGGTAAGAGTACGAAACTATTCAATCACTTTTCTAATTAATCTGACTAATTAAAATATAAACTTTACGCTATGACTGTAGCGTTCCTGTATGTACATGTATGTAGTCCGTATGTAACCTGGTGCAGCCAATTTCGTTGAACTTTGTTCCTGTATTGATCATTTCTTTAAAGTATGAAAAATCGATTTTCTCTATAGAGCTGTTTTGTAAAATTCTTTCGTTTTCATTCTTTAAATTACAAAACAAATAATGCCTCGTGTTCCTGATAAGGATATATTAATATATATTTACATATATTATATAACTGTTTGCATCGTTCAAGTATTATATTGAAAACAGTATCAAAGTAAAGAATATCTTTTGTATTATAACACAGGTAACCAAACGTATCTTTTTACATGTGACTAAACTGCATATTTTTATGCGTTTGGGGAAATGTAAGGATGCAAGGATGCGCATACTATATAAAAGTATATAAAATACCCACATAGCAAGTACTATTTAGTTGTTATATTTAGTAGATAAACAAATCTCTGTTTAGATCCACTTCTTTAATTGCGTTCACAAAAGTATAAATTTACATAAATATCTGCGATCTACGTATAGCATACCTATACATATATTCTTTGTACAATAACTTCAAGAATCGGCAAAATCCTAAAATGTTCTCGTAAAAGCTTCTCAAACGCCTGATTCTCATACTAAATCAAATTGAACCGAATTTCGTATGAGGGTTGATTATTTGAAAATGAGATGCTCCTCGTAACAAGATATTCCCCCGTTTTCTATTTTTATACGATCGTCATATCAACACCGAGCCCCTGTAAATCGATTCAAAATCTTTACTTCTTGACGAGTTCTAAGGTTCTCCGTCGGGGGAAAAGGTCATCGACGGGAACATCGGCGTTAATGCAAAGTAACAAGGCTTTGTAGCGAGCTGCTGCCTTATGGTATTTGTTGGCAAAAGCGAGAAGCGAAGAATCGCGGCCAACTGGGCTTGATCCAAGTGCGTCCTCTCGCGAGGGGTAAGAAAACTCATGAGAAAATTATCATGCGATTACATCCCCTCGCAAGTACCCTCGATGCTACAGAGAAAGTGGCGCACTTGGGGGAACAGACGAGCGGAGACGTGCGTTCCTTGCTCGTCGAGCTCCGATTTTTTTTCTCACATTGTAAATTGAAAAGTGGAAGACGATCGTTTCTAACTGGCACAGTTCCCGAATTCGAGCGAGTATTACTGCGATACTCGATTGCCAGCCACGAAGAACGCGTTCTTCGCGCTTCTTTCCCGTTTTTCTTCTCATTAATACCTGAGCTCGAGGAAATATTGCCTAACGAGTGTTCAGTTAGAACGAGGCTTTTCAGGTTTTGCCAACTCACTGGCACCCTCGTACATGATTAACATTGTCCTCTTGGACAGTGATGAATTCTGAATCGTGGGCCGTGATTTATATATCGTACAATCCAGCGAATAGTGTAATAATTGGAATAAAAAGTTAATTATTATTGCACTGCGAATGATGTTTATGCGAGTTCATATTTTTATGAACGCTATTGAAGAACCGAAACCTTTATAGAGACATATTTTATCTTGTAAATATTCCAATACAAGTACTCTATCTTGGACATTGTATGCAGTTTTGCATATTGTGCACATTTCTTATATTTTTGTGTATTTAATTTTTCTAAATGTTCATATAATTTTTGCATTTTGCACAATTTATATAATTATCCGCAGTCTACTTAGTATGTATATGATATTAATTTGTTATGTATATAAATTAAATTTTATTCTTTTCTTCTGTTGCAGGTGAGCCTGAATTTTTATCTTCGTCGAACAATGAGACAAAGGTTAGGATTAAATTGTCTAATTCAATTCTCGTACGTCTTAAACATTAAAAAATTGTGTAACATATAATTATCGATAGTTAAATATTCCAATAAACCCATCGAATCTTTCCTCTCAGCGCAATTCGCTGAAAAGAAAAGAAATTACAGCGAAATTGTCGAGACAGTGACAAATGAAGTGAAGTTAGCATCGTGATCTGACTGGCTGATAAGTCAGAATGACTAGTAATTGCGTTCTTCAATTTAACGAGCGTTTACTACTTGGATAAAAATCACACGCGTGTTGTTACAGGTTACATAGACGTGTTTAAGTTGTTAATCATGTTTCATTAAACATTTAGCATACTAATCGGCACAATTGGCGATACATGGAAAGAAAAGTCGTTTAATAAAATTCAGGTTAATCTCTTCTCGCTCAATCTGGCTTGTTCGAGATTTATTGACTTTTGTTTATGTTAACGCACTCGTTCATGCCATCGAGTCAGAAACCCGAAATCATTTTCCCCCGGTCATCCATGAAAAAAATTAATGCAGCAAATAATTCGCTGCCTTTTGTCCTTGCTTTTCTCGAGCCTTTCTGCCATTCGATGCCTGCTGTGAGGCATAGATAATGGAACCTTCCACACCAAAGTAAGAAGGAAGAAACATTTTATGGATCGTCGTTTACCGTTGCACACCAGGGGACCAGTCGATCAGAAATGCGCATCCACAACAATAACCGTTGTTCTATTTTTCAACTTTTTAGCTAATAATATATTCTAGTAATTGAGACTCAACCTGATAGAAGTAATATGAGAAAGGGCAATCTATAGTCTTTCTCAAAAGTCTGAAGATACTTTTGATGCTTGAAATTAGTAAAACATCAGTATTCGATGTAAATGTAGGTTATGATATTAAAGTTGCTTGCATTTTTCAGTAAAATTATTAATACATTATATAGTAACTAATTCTTTTTTGCCACATGTCAATCATATTTTTTCATCTTTTAATTGCCACTTCACATTTTCCAGCCTTGAATTAGATATAATAACCGTTTTGCGACATTTGAGCGAGAGCATACCTACATCTTCATTTATAACGAAATTGAAATTTATCGATTCTACGAAAATAATCTTTGTAAACTATTCTTAATCAGAATATCTTTGTCAAGTGAGTATTTTTGTGTCTCTTACAGTAAGATAGTTACTTTAGGTTATCGCAATCGTTACTTTCTTGAACAATAGCTCACATGTGGACATGATTCAGTGTGATAGCACTGGTGAAGAAGAATATTGATATCTTTAAGTGTTTCGTTGTTTGCTATTTATTTCATAAGAATGTTTCCTTTGCATACAGACAAATTTTGCCAGATATACTGTAAAGGAAAAACTGGTTCTGAATTGATACCATTTGGCTCTAAATTTGGTTCTAAAGGATTTTGACTTTTCTTGGCTAATTATTTGTTACAGTCAAATCGTGAATTTTAACCACTGACCTCCATTTTATGACCTATCTATGTCGCTTCCGCCAACTATACGTATTTTTATATACATTCGTATTCGAAACCTTGTTCGACTCGAGTATTTTTCCACAACTAATTTGATGACGATTTAAATTTATAACGAGGCAACGAAGAAACTCTTGAAATTCCGTCATCGTAAATTACTCGTAGCAGCAAAGTACTCGTTCGCCACCGTGGCGAATATGACGAACCAAATTTCAAAGACGCGAAATATGCAATTGTTGGGCTATTTCCATTGGACCCAGCGCAAAAATGAATAGGGGACTCCCGAGAGACGAATCTTGAAAGAAGGGAGAGTAGAGGATTTCAGATGCCAAGTAGTTTTCCAATGGATACAGGTTATGTGCGTAAGACAATGGTCTTCTAGTCTTGTTCATTAATAGACAATCGTCTACCGGTTTTTACAAATAGAAAGTAAAAATAGGTATATTGCAAATAGGTTTAAATTTGACTGAAAAGTTTTGGATATATCTTGAGTACCTCGATAGAAAAACTGAACACATATCTTTAAGTATGAGTTTCGAAAATAGATGTAAATGCCGATACTTTCAAGTACAATCGAATGTTGACTAAGTGAATTCGGTAAATTCGGATTTACTTGTACTCTAACTCTTTAGTTCTCCTAAAGTTAAACTCTGTTCTGGATTAATAAATATCTGGTTTAATATTTAACTTCTTCCGACAAGATCCATTGTTTCGATCTGATGAAATAAATGCCTCTGTTCGAGGACCCTCTCCAAAATTAACGTTTGGCATCATTACTTTATACTTTTCTTCCGGAAGTGTGACATCTATCTTCAAGAATATTTCATTTTTAAATAACGCGCCATTAGACGTAAGCGTAACACGAATAACGAACAACTAAAACCGATTCTTATTGAAAACGCAAAACGTGTCTGGTTGATTGATGTAGCGCGTTGACACGATTCTGCCCGACGTAATGCGTGTTTAGGCCTGATACAGACGAGCGACTTTTGTCGTTGCGATATCACACCGATACGAGCCACCTCGTGTCTGTGACGCGGTGCGATTTATTTGTAGTTGGGCAGTGCATACAAGTCTGCGATATCGCAAACGACAAAACTCGCTTGTCTGCATCTGGCCTTAAACGCACAACAACAACGACTATGTTAATAGAAACGCGACGATTCATGCTGACGCGAGCGCGTCGTTCGTTTTTTCATGGATTGGACCATAGTCATTTGCATTTCCGGCGAAAACGACATATATTATGTGATTATTTCTATTATGCGTAACTTTTCTATTACGTTATAATATTATATGAGATGTCTGTTTTCCTTGACGATCTAATACGATATTTATCTTCTACTTTTCATCAGTGCAAGTTTCAATCGACATACGCGCCACTGGCTAAATTTCAGTTGTCAATTAAGGCTTTCCTATTGTTGTGTTTCATGTTCCTTGTTGATACGCTAAACTCTTCGTTGTCGATGATAGTATCGGTAATGTTTTCATGTTCGATGTTGCGTACATACTAGATATAAGCAGCACTGCATTTTGTATCTTAACACCTCATAAGAAAACATTTTATTAACTAAGTGATAAATGCATTTGTTTCTAATGCATATGTGTATAAGGAAATCATATTGTATATAAGGAAATCAAAAAAATGTGTTTCTATTGTTAAAGGCTTAAAAAATATTTAAAAAATGAACAAAGAACATGTTTGTTTATTAATACTATTTTCCCTGAAAAATTTTTGCTAATTTCTAGAATGGAAAAGTACTTAAAGTCTTCCCGCATTCATCTTATCATCGTAAAGAACTCACTAAAGATTTTCAATAATATGTTTGAAATGAGAGACAGTCGAAAGAAAATAACAACTAATAAATAAATAAAATATGAATAAAGTAAATCGTTGCGCAGTTTTATCTAAATCACATCGTCGACAAGTGATATATTTCTTGAAGTAATCTAGAAAGATCAAATTAAGTAGTTTAGAAAACTTAATGTGTTTCAATGGATGTTTCATATATTGCTATATTATTATATTACAGTCTAATAATTCTGGAGACAGACTTTTGCAGTGCCCATCGCTTTTGACGTTGTATAAATAATGTAATTGCACGATTGCACCATATCCAATAATTCAGCGTAACGAATGGTTTGACTACAGCAATCGAAGTCAATCCCAATGTAGTTATCGATTAATACTAGTTAATTAATATAGGAAATAGTTAATAACAACTGAATGAGTTGAACTTGGTCATCACGTTATTTTCTTGTTTCCACTCTTTGTACTTTTCTATTATTTGCATACTATATAATAACGATGTTATTCATTAATTAAAGAAATGAATTTCAACGAATGAAATTTCAAAGAGTTGTGTCCTAATTAATACGATCGACATTCAGTGGTGAATGAATTTTAATTGACATAAAAAATCCACCGTTTGTAATTTAGAGGGACTGTTATGAAAATTCTATGAATGCAAAGATTAAAGACAATGTTTTAATTACTAGGTTTTCATTTCAATTTGCTAACAAATGTTAGATTTAAAAATAGCCTATTCTTTTTACTAGAGTTAAATATGCATGCGTTTGCAAAAATCTGTCGGGAAGCTCACATTACTACGGTGAAAATAAATGCCATGTAATACGTACATATTATGCGAGTATACATTACAAAACGCGACTCAATTGTAACAATAAAAAATGGAAGGAATGTAAAATTTCGAATAAATATCATTTCGTAAAGGATATCCTGCCATATAAGAAAAATGAATAGTTTTGCGATTCTAATATTAAGTTATTTATTTCATAACATCGGATGAAATATTTGGCTTGAGAAATATACAATACAGTACACGATATTACAATTCATGAAATTAAATCAGTTTACATGTAGGTATTTTAAGAAATTAATAGACAAAATAATTAATTAGTCAGTGCATGTATCTTCAATAATTGTATATGTAAGAATTGTAATTTGTAATAAGTGCACATGAAATTTTGTTTTTCAAATTTTTTCATTTATTAGCAAATTTTAAACTTTAAATTTATTTCAAGTTAGTAAGAAGTTTACATTTTTAATTTTTTATCTAAAATTAGCAAATTCTAATTAATATTCAATTATTCAAAAAATATATTTGATGTAATACGCGTTTGTTGAATACCAAAAAGTAAACGAATTTTGCTATTTAATATCATAAATTATATAACAAAACATATAGTAGAAGTAACTAAAAACCTAATTTATTTGAAATTTATTTAAAATGTTCAACCATAAAATTATTTCAAGAAGTTAATGTATATATTAGCACAGTCCAACATTGATTTGTAGAATCCAAGAGTGATTTTATCTATCTTTCATTGGAGGCTAAGTAAGAGGGAAAGCCGAAAAATTCTTTTGACAATAATATTTGAAGAGATATTAGTAAAAATAACCAACAATAAAAAATGTAAGAGTATGATTAGAGCCGTAATTACATATTCATCACTTGAGATAGGTGGAAATGAAGGTGAACAAATTAGTTCTGCGTACGTACGATGTAATTATGTGTATGTGAAGAAACTGAAACGAATGCAAACAAATACTTCCTTACTTTAAAATAATAAACTTGGTGAATTTGGATGTGAAATTCTTTGCATTCCATCTAATTCCTCGATGTTATACTTATACATTATTTTTTTTAAGGATTTACGCAATTTTCCAACGAATTAATTATTCAGGAATGAAGAAACTAACAACAACATTCAATGAATTTTTCAATAATAATTGATGGTTTTTATGAACATGGAACAATAAAATCAAACAAGTGTCGAAAAGAATTCAGATAATTGTAAAAAAATTATTTTATTGAACACCTGACCTTTTGAGGAATCTATATAATATATTATATATGGCAAAAATTTTACCTGAAACGTTGCTCTCATTTGATTAAATTTATATCAGTGTACAATCACCTGCTATTTAAAGTTCTAGTTAAAAGGATGCTATATCGTATAAACATTTATACCTACATATATCAAAACCCCAATTTATGAAAGAGCATATTCAAGAACATTAAAAACAAAACAAAGAAACGCAATTCTGATACGTGTAAAGTAGCGTTGCTATCGTGTGATTTAATTTATAAACAACGTTTTTGTTGCACGGCAATAAAAAACAATCAGCAGTACATAGACATATACTTAAAGATTGTGTAGAAACGATCACGGCTCGACACTCGATGAAGCAAGGAAACGAGGCGCTACCTTAATCGAACAGTCGTCTCTACTAATTATACATACTGGCCTCTAGACCGTAGATAGTACAACCGATATCTGCGCTACATTGTTAGTGAGGGCACAACACTTATACGATCGTGTGTATTTTTAGATATTCAGTGCCAAATATCTTGGTCTGCGATGTGCGCGATCTGTTATTTGCAAGTACGCGTTCGCGCATCGTTATCGCGTGTGCTCGACGAATTACTCTGTTGAATTAGCACCGAAACTGACATTTTACAGGATGAGCTGTGACATTACGCCTGTATTTCAGCGTTGTGCTTTTCGACATCAGCCCTATCGAAACAACGTCGTGCAGTTGTTGATGAGGACGTCAGCAGTATTACGAGTGCACAATCAATACAAAATTAATTCTGGTGTAAATTTCTATATCTAATCTTTCGTCTAATCGACGCCTTGATTTCGAAAATTGGAACTCGCGTATCATTCCACAGGTAGTTGTGCTGACCAATCGAAGTAATCGTTGATTAGATGTGCTCCGACGAGGTTTTTGAGGGTCGATCATTCGAGATAGATAATCGGCACGCCACTCAAAAAGCTATGTTGGCGGTCGCCTCTTTACCTTCATTGCGCGTTTCGTCGTACTTATTTTTAAGCCGAATACGACGTAGAATTCGCTAAAACCGTTCCGTGCGAAAAAGTACGTTGCAAGTTAGCTTGCAATGTTATGTGCACTATAACCAATCATAGATAATTTCGATCATGGTTAGATTATATGAAATAAACTATAGCGCTGAATTTACCAAATAGGATCATTTATTTAATCCCTTAACGATATAATAAAATGTAAAGACTTTTGAGTGGGCGATTTAAGGAAAGGATATCTGCATTTCGTGTATTACAAGCAGAAGATATACTTTCTGCTTTTTATGAAACATAAATATTGATGACTCTTTCAGGCTATACTGTTAAAGTATACAATGTAAAGTATATACTGTTAAGCTATAACAATTTTATATTTTAGACAATTTCATCGGATATCTGATTAGTTTCAATTATAAACAATCGTAAAGCCAATGTTTGCTTTATGATGACCGGCTTGAAATTTATTTAAAGCATATATTTAATGTTATTAAAATTAAATTACTTTAAAAATGCACAATTACAGCAAAATATTTACGATATATTTTTACTGAATTTGTCAATAATGCTTTTGAAGAGAAACGTAAATTGCATATGCAAAAACGGTATTTAACAAGCATATTTATCTAGCATACATTGTAATATATTTTATTGTGTTCTTCTATTATCCAGAGTTCATTACATAGCTATCTCAATCTTTTTCTGTCGATTACGCTCATTACGAAGTGAAAATGAAAGAAATTCGGTAAAAAAATGATAAAAGAATGCGTTATATTTAACGAGGATTAACTAAAATTGCTGATGGTTTTTTAATGGACAGATAATACAAAATGCTAGCAACAGTCAAGCCTTAATATCCTTGAAAAAAAGAACCAAAAAAAAAAAAAAAAAAATAAAAGACCAAAAGGAGCACTGGCGAATACCAATAAAAGTATCATTTAGCTTAATTACCTTTGATTTAAAAATAGATCAGCTATAGAAATCTGCAATTACAACTCGAACGATCAATTTTTATATCGGTATTTTGAAAGTGCCGTCTTTGTCCTCGTGTTCGTTTCATTGCCTAGTTGGAAACGTTGTTTTTTTATTGTCGCGCAGGGTTTGAGAACAGTTGTCTGGCTAGGTAAAAGTTGTAATTTTGATTTTTTTCGTTTACTTGATTCTTGATATTTTTATGTTTCTCGGTTATAAAGATTCCAAATTGGAATCTTACTTGTCCATAAAAATTATTTAAACGAGATAATACGTCACTTAAAAGTAGATAATCTCTACTTCTTACAGAATATTATTTAATGGTCGCCTTTTCTTTTTCTAACCGTAAGTAAAAAATAATAGTTACAGGGAATTGTTTTAAGTGTCATAAATTTTGTAAAGGAAGGTACATTTTTAAGTCTTTCAATAGAAAAATTATAATCTGAAATTTCCGAATAGATTAGAATTATTATTATTTATTATTATCATACATTATATAATTTTTAATTTTAAAATATATTATATATTATTAGAAGATTATTAGAAATAAACTAATTAACATTTCACTGCTATCTTGTAGCCCAGATTCAGTTCTTTGATTCGAGCAAAAATTAAGAGCTACATTTTGTAACATGTTTGCAATTTAATTTTCAAGTTTGTGGAGTTTCTGCGGGCATTCGGTAGTCTAACATAACCTGTCATTTATCTATTCTGGTTACTATGTGATACTATATCTGTGAATTACTTACAGATTATATAAGAATGATTCTACATACAAAATAAATGTAGTAGATAACAAAAATGTAGTAAATAAGTAATATGAATAGTTAAGCAGCAGACAACATTAGTCTGCATAATACAGGATGAGTTTTTCGTAGCCTTGTTTTATGCGCATCACACCGTGCCGCGCCGCGTCGGAGCAAATGCGCTATAGCAAAATTCGGTATTCGCTGACTAGCGAGTGCGCATGCGTGCAACCATGAGTGCAACGATACGTATGCCGCACCGCTCCGCGCCGGTGCAACGCAAGAGAATGACGTCATTGGTCTGGATGATTAGTCTGCCAGTGGTTCTCTGTTTTGTTGATATTCCGTCTGGAGCGAAAGGTTAACGCGCAAAAACCGTCTCGACCGTTCTCGTCGATTCAGAAGATGACTAGACGATGAATTTTCGTTACTAGTGCTTTAGAAAAAATGATGACGAGTGCCTAACATATCATTAACGCGAGTCATGGCTATTTTTATAGAAAAATAAAAAATTTCAAGTGGAACAAATGGAAATAAATTTAATCGTAAAAAACTTAGTTACACGAAATTTGGTATACGTTATAACGATTATTTATATTTTTTACTACTTTGTTAGTCATATGTCTACTACTTTGTTAATCTTATAAAATTTAGTTTCACGAATTTTAGTTTGTCGTAAGATATAATTATCACTTATATTTTTTATGTTTTTATTATTCTTGCCTAGTATTTTAGATCCCATTGGATCAGATATTGAACGTGTAGGCGAAGAAGTCGATCCTGAGAACTGACTTTAAGAACTTTAACGCTCCTGAAATCGTAATTAAAGTATCAAAAAGATAGAAAAATTGATAATATCTAACATAATAATACGAGGTGTAAACTCTTGCATTTTAATAATTGCACATAGTTTTCGTGGATTTTTGACATTTTTCTCGTTAGATCTTTGCGATTGCTTGACGGCTTAGATGATAGAAAGATAAAGTACAGTTGGTAGAAAATATTTGCGGGAATATTTTGGTACAGATTTGCCAGAAACGAAAGCGTACGGCAGATGCGTTTGTTTGGATCGATTCGTGTTTTTCTTGCAATTATGTTTTATGGCTTCCTCGATAAATCTTGTTCGTCTCGATAGCCATTCGTAGTTTGAAATTGAAATGGATATTTTGGATAAACGGTCGATATATTTCGTGTACATTTTATCGTAGGTATTGAGAAGAACCGATTAGCCGAGATTTTTATCCCTCGAGCGTTGTTACGCAAAGACGGGTATGTATACGTTCTCTGAAGTCGTACGCAGTTCGGTATAGCGACACGTTTACAGCGGCGAATACAAAACTGGCCGCGCTTTTTCAACGTATCCCAGTTGTGCGTCGCATATCTTTATGCAGTATGTCTGCAGAATTTCGAGAACTCTGCGCAGTTGGTGGGTTCTTTTTTCTTTTTTCTTCGTAAAAAGAAGCCTGCACGAAACGCCCGCGTATTCACGGATTTATCGAGCCTTTTCTAGCCATTTGCTTACGACCTTCGTCGATTAAATTTAAAATGCATTTATGTATATTACGTCCGTTCTAAAAACGAGCCGCTTTAATAACATCTCGCGGTTGAATTGTCGGAATTTTTTAGATTCAAGGCTGTTCGACCATTCCATGTTTAGCGTAGAACCGTACAACGACCATCGTTAAATTCTTTGATTATGTTCCTTTCCCCTTGTTTCGGTGCAATTTTTCCAACACTCTTTCTCCTATACCAATGAAATACTGTTTGCATCAATTATAGAAACGTCATGGCGATGTCGATAATAATTATCTTCGGTCGGTGTGCGAATGCAAAATTTGCCTTTATGAGAGGAGTGAAGAGAACAGGTAAACAACAAGAGAGAAAAAGAGTACTGAATCGCATCGAGAACGTGACGAGGTGTTTTTTTTGCAGGGATTCTTCAACGTTCATTAAAAGCTGGATTAATTTGCACATTGTACTAGGACGGCATGATTTTCACAGCATGGAATATTCGTTTCTTCGATATTCGACGGCGGTCTAATCAGTGTAATCTTTCGTATTGCGTGTGTGGTATTAGCTGTTTTACTTGAACATGAGGAGCGATCGTACATAGAGTACGTAGAGTTGTCACTCTCTATATATATACGTGGTTGTGTTTGACCACGGACTCGCGCGTCTTGCTGAGACTTGCACATTTAAACTATCCGACATTACTTAACCAACGTCGGAACGCGGAAAATGACATTGCGCGAATCGTCGGTTTTATATCGCCAGAGAATTAAACCGTTGATCACTGTATACCGCGACACGATGTTGATAAGGACTGATTACGATTACATACACATCTACCTTTTTCCTTTATCCTCTTCCTTCTCCTCCTCTCTCTGTCTCTCTGCCTCCGTCTCTGTCTGTCTGCCTCTCTCTCTGTCTCTCTCGTTGTCTCTGTCTCTCTCTATCTGTCTGTCTGTTTGTCTGTCCTGTCTGTCTTTCTCTCTCTCTCTCTCTGTTTCTCCCTTTTGCTTTCTTACTCTTTCCTATCGTTGTAATTACGCTGATATGTCGATACGATAGACAGAACGATTTACAGCTTTTTAATAAGTTCTAGTGGAAACTTTGAAATCTATCATGTACGAGCGATACCCGCGTTCCCGCAACTTTCATAGATAATACGTGAGTACGACGTTACATAATCCGTCGAAGCATTTTGAATTTGTAATCGTGGACTGGGAACGTTCGAATTTTCCTGTAGGAAATCGTGCTTCTACCATCGAACATCGAGAATCGTCGAATTGTCTGGTAATTCTCGATGAAAATTCAAGTTCAAGCCAGTAAATACTGGAAAACAATTTTAATGGTTACTGGATAGAGTAAAAATTCAGCTTTTCTTTCCGAATATTTTTTTGTAATATAATATTGTTTCAAAATTTTATATCAGAATCTTCTAGCCTCTTAATCGAGTTGTTTCTCAATTGGAAGTTTCCATAATTATAAAATTCGGAATTATAAAACTAATAAAGACAAATTAATTACAATTAGCTCAATTTTAATCTATGCAAGTGTAAACATGATATAATATATAATATATATAATATTTTTAATTGAAGTAAAATGATATGTAAAATAATATGGGATTTTTAAGAAATCATCATATCGAAGAGATTAACATCTGAATGATTACTTATAATAATAATTCGATTGATTCTCAGTTTTATAATTGATACATACTTACCCCTTATCCTGGATCAAATGTATAGACGGATCAACGAATAGGTGATTAATCCGAGACTATATAAGTACCAAATATAACTTATAAGCATGAAATAAGGTAAAAATTTATTATCTACATATAGAATACAGATGTGGCATTTATATAAACTCTATATATGAAATAATGTTTACTAAACGTAGAAATCCCTATTTTTCATTTACATCTTTAATTTAAATACCTTTCTTGATGTATAATCACGAAAGAAGAGAAAAGAAAAAACGAAAACAGTAAAATTTCAATGAAAATATGGCCAGTTAAAATGTGGATGCATAAGACGCAAAAATTACTAAATTCGTCGATTTGATGAACTGCAGATTTTGTTTTATAGCAATTATTAAAATAACAGTGTTTTTGGCAGAATTTATATTAACTTTCATTAAAATAGAATAATAACCATACAAATTGGCTACTTGTATACGTATATTAGTATTTTCGTTATAATCATCGAAATAAATACTTACAAGTTGGTCATTTATATTAAAAGTTGGTAGTTTAAGTATTGAAATGACAAGTTATGTTATTTAACTAAATGTAGTTAGAAATAATAAATATATATCTATGTACTTAATAACGCTGAGCGATAGAGTTTCCAAAATAATTAATACGTCAACTAGTGAAATATTAAATACTTATAAAATTATTCTGATTTTCGAGAAGACATTCTTATTTATTTGCATTGTCTAAATATAACATAATCACATTTAGGCAAAGTTAAGCAGTCTGCGTCTTCTCAACAAAAGATGTTTCGTTCCGATACCAGGTTCGTTCAATATTTCCTTTTCTCAATAACTATACTGTTTTTGTCTTTTCAACGTACAACCCGTTCTCCTGGAACATTCAACAAGCATACAAATGGAAAGCTATCGAGAAGTCTTAGCGGTTTTTCTGTTGTACCATAGCGACTGTCGGCATGTAGATTTTGTTAGATG